ATGGTACAAACATCCTCCAAGGATAACAGGAACACACTGACCCCTCCTAAAGATAAGCTCAGGATAACAGTATGTAATAAAAATGTTTTAATTAAGCCAACATGTAGAAGGTGATGGGTGATAACTAGCCACGTCATGGGGCAGTACTAACTGGTTTGTGTCAGGGTATAAAGATGTTAGTCTTTAAGGTGCCACCAGACTCCTTGTTCTTTTTGTAGATACAGACTAACACGGCTACCCCCTGATACTATCTCAGAAGGAGTGTCTTTGTCCAGCCAAGGGGGGAATAGAAAGTCCCACCATTCACTGAGCGGCGTCCATTGTCACAGGCAGACATGTCTTAGTCTCCTCAGGGGAAGGTCCCGTTGCAGCAAGGTTCGCTATCTGCCGCTCTTTCCCTCGTCATACCTGTGAGGAGCAGAAACTTCCTCTCAAGAATCACTTAATGGAGAAGGTCCTGAGACTGCAGTCAGGCCCCAGTTGGGGGACACCCCAGACGTTGGCCTGACTCCGCAAGGAGTGCGCCTCCTGCCGTAAAGTCCGACTTCGGAGCGAGGGAATGAACTCCTACAGACCCCCTGCTGGGGTCTTGTTGGGTGGGCCGGAAGTGCTCTCATAAGCACGAGAGCAAATCCTCCTCTAAATCCACTTCAAAGCAGCCAGATAGAACCAAGCCGAAGTCAAGCAAGTCTTTCTGCTCAGCCCGTGGCATGAGCAGTCTCGGGGGCATGTTAGGAAGGGCCACAAACCCAGGGCTCCATTGGCACCAGACCACTCTCTGCCGGCAACGGTGCCTCTGGTACCAACTAAGCCTGAACTGATGGCACTGGCAAAAGGCAACCATAGACAGCCCTGACCACCAACAGTACTGCCTCTGCCTCACCCAACTGTGGCACAAGCTAACTCCTCCGGCTCCATTGGTTCAGGCAGACGGGCCGGCTCATATTCCAGGGCAAGCAGAATCTTGCACTACATCTGACATTTTTGGTTTCCCTGATCCCCAATCTCCATCACCATAAGGTCCTTCCCTCATGAGGGAGGTGTTGACTCCACCAGGAGATGCAGTTTGTGCGAGGACTCTGTCTCCCATTCCATTGTCCAGGTACAGTTTCCCTCCAGTGGAACCGTCGGTTCGGCCAATGTATTGAGAATCGGCATTTTCTTTCTTGGGAGACTGAATCACCTGAGGAACTGACATCTCTTCCTCCAGGGCACGCCTTCCTGGACAAGGGACCCAGACCAGTCTGGAACCAAGGCCCATCTCATTACCTACCTCAGAACCATTGGTACCCCATGTCATAGGGACCTCCACAACCCCCATTTGACCCCTCTTACTGTCTGTTCTGGAGTCCCGGGGACCTGGACAATCTTCCAGAGTCGACATGATCCACGAGAGAGTCAGTCCACCCCTCCTCTGCGAGAGGACAGCCAGAGGTTCCTCT